CCCCGGCATCGGCAGGCGGACTCTCAACCACTGCGCCACCAGGGAAGCCCCCATACCGTGTATTTTTAAATCAGTGTATTTTTAAATCACCACGGTGATCCTGTGCGCCGTGCTGCTCTCGGTGCCTGTGGGTGCCTATGTCTGGGCAGTCCAGGCTCCCTGCAGATGCAGGGAGTGGGGCCTGCACTGCTGTCCTCATCGCAGGAAAGCCCCCAGGTGCCCCCTGGCAGTCCCAGAGCACAGGGATGTCTCCTACAGAGACCACACAGCTGTCTGTGAAGATGGCCTGGGGCACAGAGATGCTGAGGGGGAGGGGGAAGAGGAGAGAGATGAGGAGGGAGATAGTGGCCCGGGGGGAATGGTGTGGGCCTCCAGCCCCTAACTTAAATCTCTGTGGCAGCTCAACTTGGCTTGACCCATTTAGTCAACAAGTATTTATTGAGCAGCTACTCAGTTCCAGGCTCTGAACTTGACACAATGATCCAGGAGACACAATTCTTATCTTCACAGAACTGGTGCCAATGGACCCTTGTCCAGTTATCCATGGTGACTCGAAATTAATAAATGTTATTTTCTAAATATATAACCCTATAACATTTACATGTTTACATGGAACATTTACATATAACACATTTCACATGTGTTATCCTCCTGCAGAAAGGTAGGATTCTAGCCTTTGTTACAGGTGAAGAAACAGAAGCCCAGAAAGTTACAATGACTTGACCAATGTCACCCAACTAGTAGGCAGGAGGCACCACCCAAAAGAGGTTCTAGTTCCACTGTTTCCTTTAAATGTTTGCTTTGAAGTCTCTTGTGTCTCCGGTTGTCCAGAAAGTATTATTCTTCCTTTTAACAGCAACCCCCAACTGAGATCACATAAGTTTGATGTTCTAAAAAGCTGCCTTTTGGGGTGATGAGAGCCTGGTGGGTGATGTGAGTCTCCATTTGTGGGTGTCTGTGTCCCTGTGAGCAGTCTTTGGTGCTCCTGAGAGCCTGGTGCCATCAGCAGTGAGGAACAGGGGACTGGCTGCAGCCCGGGGCTCATGGTCCAGTGATTGATGGAAAGCAGGGTCACAGGAGCCCTATTTGGAAAGAAAAGAATTTATATAAAATCATATAATTATTATTATTGCTCTTATACTTATTACAAAGAGGAGGCTACACAGTCCTGATTCCCACCTAGTTTCATGCGATTGTGAGATTAAGGCTTATTTTTTCAGCCCTGTGTCCCTGGTATTGCAGTGCTGAGTGTGATAAATGTTTTTATATGAATAAGGATATAATCCGCACTCCCTTCCCCAGTTAATGTTCCAAGCTCTCCTATTAAACCCCTGAGAGGTGATTGTTTCCTTTTACGGGGCTCACGTGGAGTAGGCGGTGGCGGGGGGGCCCTGAACCTCAGGGATGGCTCACTGTCCCTCCACGCAGCCCTGCTAGTGAAGGTCTTTCCCAGGATTTAAACCGACATCTGTGTCCTCACAGCTTCTCCCGCTGGCCACAGAGAGATGCTCTGAAGACTCAATTGTGAGCTGACCTCCTTGTGACATCCCCAGAAATATTTTCTCCCTCCTTCCCACCTTCCTTACCAATTCCTACTCATCCTTCCAGACCCATCTCATGTATCATGTCCTCCAAGTAGCTCTCCTTGACTTTACATGTCTAGGAAAAAGAAATAATGAGTGGAACAGGATATGCAATGTTTTTGTTGCTTGCAAGCCCTTTGGGGCAGAGACTGACCTTTCTTGCTCTAGCTGCTGGGCTCATCCAATACCTGGACTGTGTTGATAATCAGTGTTGGTTATGATGAATTTTTAAAAATTGAGGACAGCTCTCATATTCAGACCAATTGTTACCTCACTTCTTCAAGTTCTCCTCATTTATCTCTTTCTGAGCACCAGAAGCTTTTTCATGGAAAATTTCTGTCACACCAAAAGTAGAGAAAATCTTGTTCTTCTCTTCAGTCAGCTTCCGTAATTTTTTTCTTTTAACATTTTCCACTCTTACTTCATCTAGTCCTTGCTGTCAACAGGTTTTTTAAACTGGAGTATTTATGGTAAATACAAAACTCACCTGTGAATATTTTAGTTCGATCTCCAAACAGATAATGAAGTTTCAAAAAGACACGACCACAATTCCACTGTCACACCAAAGAACATGCATTTTTGAACTATATGTACATATATATAGTTATATATACATATGTGTACAAATAACACACACATATATGTAATGTAGCGGAGAATTTTTTTATGAGCGATTTCCCATGATAAATTTTGAAAAAAAGTGGTCGGAGCAGGGTAAGAACGTACTTCCATTGGCCTCTGCGTACTCCTTTCATAGGATCAAAGGCTGTCCGTGGGCCTTGAGGGGGCGCAGTCATCATGAAGTGGCCTGGGGCTACCTTGAAGGCAGGAGTGGATGCTTTGGCCTCCACTTTGGGCAAAGAAAGCTTCATGGTGGGTGTGGGCAGAGGGGTAGGAGGAGGGAAGGGGCTGTGGAAGAGGAGTGTGGGTAGCCGGGAGAGTCAGGAGCATGTCCTGAGCAGGGGCAGTGTTCAGCTGCGTCTGTGACATGGAAATTTAGGGAGAGGGAACATAATCTAGAGAGGATTTCTGAGAATCTGATATTTTAAGACCCTTAGACTGCCCCTTAAAAAATCCTAAAGATGGGGCTTCGCTGGTGGTGCAGTGGTTGAGAGTCCGCCTGCCGATGCAGGGGACACGGGTTCATGCCCTGTTCCGGGAGGATCCCACATGCCGCGGAGCGGCTGGGCCCATGGGCCATGGCCGCTGGGCCTGCGCGTCCGGAGCCTGTGCTCCGCAACGGGAGAGGCCACGACAGTGAGAGGCCCGCGTACTGCAAAAGAAAAAAAAAGAAAAAAAAGTCCTAAAGATGCACGTTAGATCGATTAGGCAATATGATGGTAGGGGTAATAGCACAGACTCTGGAGCCCAGTTTCCTGGGCTTAAATTTTAGTTTTGCTTCTTACTGGCTTTGTGACTCTGTTTCCCTGAGCCTTAATTTCATCATCTGTAAAATGAGGATAATAATAGTACCTACCGTGTAAGGTTGTCCTGATACTTGTAAGAATTTTTACATGTAGAGATCTCAGAACAATGCCTGGCACATAGTAAGCCCTCAATAAGTATCACCATTTAAGGCATCCATGTTCATTTGTGCTTTCTCTGAATGTGACTCAGCAGACAGACTGGTCATTTGGAACAGCAGATCTTATTAGGATTACATATGTGTGTCTATGTAGAAATACATACATATATGTATATATACATATAAAGACAGGGTATCTATGCTAATGTCCTTCACATTCTGTTTAATTAATGCTTAATGTTCTGTTCTGTATAAATAGTGTTTCAAATATGCTATAGTTTTAGATTCAGTTGTCATGCTCTTGGGACTCTGTTTAGAGCTTAGACCATGTCTTTTTAAGGTAAGTGCCTTTGATACAGGAGACATTTGTAAGCAGGGCTACTTGCTTTTAGAATGAAGCCATTGCTAGTCCTAGGCATCTGTTATTAGCAACTTGAGAGAGGTGTTTTGTCCTTTTTTCTTTTTGCTTGTTAGAGCCTGTGTCCCTCACACCTACAAGAGGGCCTGACACAGATGATATACTCAGAAATTGTATTATTGAAAGAATGATTGAGTAAATTATTGATTAATAAATAAATGACTGGCCCTCACTCAGCCAAAGAGGTGCATTTGTACAATTTTATAATGGCACAAATATCACCAGCCCATTGCTACAAAATAAGGTCACTTACTTTATTGATCAAATTATGGTTGCTTAAGCCTTACCCACTTCATTCTAGAAACTAAGACTTTCTATTTTTTAAAAAAATTTATTTATTTTATTTTTGGCTGAGTTGGGTTTTAGTTGTGGCACGCGGGCTCAGTAGTTGTGGCGCGTGGGCTTAGTTGCCCCGACAAGGGATCGAACCTACATCCCCTGCATTGGAAGGAGGATTCTTAACCACTGGACCACCAGGGAAGTCCCAGAAACTAAGACCTTCTGAGCACTGCCCCCTCACCCAGTTATTTCTGTGAATCTCCTAAGGGGTCCTCCCTGTGTCCACATGCCGGTCAGCAGCCTTAGTCCTCACCTGGCATCCTCCTCATTCTCTCTGCCCATCCTCCCATGCTTGGGGCCCTTGAAGACTGTCAGGGAAGTATTCCTGCTTGCCAACAGATGCCAACATCCATGCTGGGTGAGCTGACCCAGGATTTTCTCAAAGCTTCCAGTCCTCATGGTGGGGAGGGATAAATTGGGAGACTGGAATTGACATGTACACACTACTATATATAAAATAGATAACTAATAAGAACCTACTGTATAGCCCAGGGAACTCTACTCTGTGTAATGACCTATGGGAAGAGAATCTAAAAAAGAGTGGATATATGTATACGTATAACTGATTCACTTTGCTGTACAGCAGAAACTAACATGACTTTGTAAATCAACTATACCTCAATAAAAATTAACTTAAAAATAAGCGTCCGGTCGTCAGAGAACCAGGAGACTCCGGCTCCTGCCCAGCTCTTGCCAAACTTCGCCAGCTGGACTCTGGGGGACAGCTGTTCAGTACAGAGTCCCATGGGTCCTCTTAGGGGCAGTCTCATTGGTTCCTAACCCCCTGGGAGCGTAGATGCTCAAACGCAATCTGTAGGGCTGCAAAGGTCACAGATGTTGTGGTGTCTGCCCTGTCCTCCCCCACTGGCCTCCTGGTCCACTCTCCTCTCTTCTCCTATCAGAGGGTGGAAACATCCTGGAGGTAAGGATGAGCAGAAGAAGTCCTTTCCTCAGGGTATGATGCTCTAGTATGGGGACCGTCAGCCGTCCTCAAATGCCCTCGTGTACAACTAAGAGTAGCGCCTGTCTCCTGAGCTTGCATCAGCAGAAACAAAGCTGGTGGCAGGTGCTTTGCATAGATTAGCTCTTGTCATCCTCATAGCAGTGATTTTTTGCATCCTGTACTGATGAGGAAAGTGAGGCCCAGGGATGCTTGTTGTCTTGTCCCAAGTCACACTTAGGTGGCAGAACCAGGATTCAGACCCAGGACTGTCAGACTGTAAAGAGCAATGTTTGTTTGTTTTTTGTTTTGTTTTTGTTTTCTCGGCCACACCACGCAGCTTGTGGGATCTTAGTTCCCCAACCAGGGATCGAACCCGTGCCCCCTGCAGTGGGAGCACGGAGTCGTAACTACTGGACTTGCCAGGGAATTCCCGAGCACGATGTTATTTCATATAATTAGAAAGTCTGAGCTCAACCACAGGGAAAAAGCACACACTGTTCTACAGACTTCTTGGAGTCACATCTGTTGGTTGTCCATCTATCCTTGGGGCCCAAGAGTGGTAGAGCCCACCCAA